CAGTTGTGTTTGTTATGCTTGCATTTTTAATACCACCTCCAGTGCCTCATGCTGTAAGAGTTAGTTTACTGAAGGATCATCCATAATCCCTTGAGCTAGATACAGAAGCTAGAACCGAGGCTGTGAGTTGAAGGTGTACAAAGGAGAGCCCTTCCCTGCCTGCCCCACGCCACACGGCTTGTCCTAATCTCATCTTAGTCGCTTTCTCCTTACTGGGACAAAATACCCGATACCCACAGTTTAAAGGTGGTTTATTTTGGGCTCATGATTTCCATCCATGGGCAACTAGCTCCATGGGCAGGAACAGGATGGCAGACAGACAGGACAAGGAAAAGGTCCTCAGCCATGGCAGCCAGGAGGCAGAGAGAGAAGGGAGGAGCTGGGGACGAGAATGCACCCCCTCCAGGGCCCCAGTGACCACCCGCAGCCAGGTGCTACTGCCTAACAGTGCAGTCAGCGATGAAGCGAGTGTAACCTCTCATGATCCAATCCCCTCCTCCGTACATAAGACACTCAGGGGACATTTTAGTTCTGAACCTTGACAGCCCTTCCCTCAGAACACCTCACGCCTGTCCATTTACTGACCAAGTAGGATCGCCACTGCCAATCCGCACATTAAATGTTAGTAAAGCTTAATTCCCCCCTTTTGCCAACAGAAGTTTAAATAGTTTGGAACTTCAGCGGGATCTTCCGCATCCCACTTGGGGGACCACTGCTACAAATAAGTAGTCTTAAAATTGTGCTTGTTTTTAACCTCAGAAACTTCTTCGTTAAAGGGAACATGGAACTCTAATATTTGAAAGAAAAAATAGCGCTGATAAAATGACTCTGGTCAACTTTAATAAGATGGGGACGGCAAAGTTCAGATCTGGGCTTGTTTGGCATCTTTCTCTGCTGCCTCCTCAGGCAAGACTTGAAGATACCCCCGTGGAGACTTGGTTTTCATGACACACAGTTGGAAACATTTTGTGCCAAGCCTCACTCTGCAGGGCTGACCTCACGGACACTCGCTTCCTCTTTAGTCATGAAGGAACCAGCATACTTTTCAAAAGCTCTGACCAGCAATAGCTCCCATGACCATATGCCACATCTTATCCTGGGATAAACACATCTAACAGAGTGAATATGAAATGGCAGCATTTGGGCCACTAACATTTTAAGGAAAAAATATTGTTTGGGCTGGAAGCCTTTCCTGTATGTTCCCCAGCGACCTTGAGGTTGAGGATCTGTAATAAACTAGTATGTTCCAATTTGTTCTAGTAAAAGTAATACGTTTTTAAAATGCTGCCAATAAGGAAAATGAGAAATATATAAACTGCTGTGGTTTGGAGTTGAAATATTCTCCAAGGCTTGTGGGGCAGTTGCTGGATTATGGGGGAAGTGACTGCGTCGTGAAGGCCCTAACTTCAAGTGGGTTAATCCATTCATGTGATCATAATTTGATGTTATTACTGGGAGGTGACAGAAACAGGAAGTGACTTAGTTTGAAGGGAGAGGATCAAGGGTGCTCAATCTGGACGACTGTACTTGGTCCCTGACCCCTTCTCTTTTTTTGTTTTTTGTTTGTTTTCTGGTACTGGGACTCTAACTCACAACCTTGCGCTTGCCAGGCAGGTGCTGCTGAGCTAAATCCCCAGCCGCCTCCCTTCTTTTGACTCTCCCTTCTTTTTGCTTTCCAGATGCCACGAAGTGAATGGCTTTGCTGTGTCACGCCCCTCCACCATGATGCATCTGCCTCAGCTCAAGTCCACAGCACTGGAGCCGGCCCCCTAGGGATTGAAACCTCTGCAGCCATGCGCCAGAATAAACCTTTCCTCTTTTAAGCTGTTTCTCTCAGGTATTTTGTCACAGTGAAGGAAAGCTGAGAAATACATAAGCCAAATAAAAATTTAAGATAAAAGTACTAAAAAAATGATCTTATATGGGAAGTATCTTAAGAGGTCAGGAAATGGACTCTCTGTGATAGTCTAGTAGCCAAGACAAGTAACGCCAGCTGCTATAATAAGTGACCTGAAAACGTTGGGCTTAATGCACTGAAGATCTACTTCTCATTGATACCACAGTACAATGCACGCTGTGAGAGGGCTCTGCTGTAACCAGCCACCCAGGGACTGGTTCCACACTGCTGTGTCAATGCTGTCCAATTGATGGGTGGATTAAAAAAAAAGCAGAGAAAGCATACTGTGTCTTAACTGCTCAACTGGATTGCATTCCATGGGTGATAACTAATCACGGGACCCTACCTGTATGCAAAGAGTTTAGGAAGTGTAGTTTCGTTATCTTGGAAGACCAAGTGGGTTTGTTAGCAACTAGGCAGGCTTTGTCACCTATGGGGACTAGGGTGGAGGTGGTCAGGTCTACACCAGGGATTCCAAACTATAATTTGGGTATCACTAGCTCCGGCTTGGAAAACATCTTGAGAAGCCTCCAATTCTCTCTTTTCTGCCTGGTTTAATACAGGTATCTGCACTCCAGCACTAACTTCAGCTCATATTCTTTGAACAAGCCATGATCATGCCCGACTTTAGATATTCCTCCTGCTGACCTCTTCTTCCAGAGCTCTTCCTCATCTTTTAAGACTCAAGACAAGGTTTACTTCCTCTATGAACTTTTCTCTGATGACACATAGCATGGAATTCTTAACACTATCTGAGCTTTATGCTTGTACTTTGTACAGAGCACTATTGCTGAATGCATTAGCCTGATAACTGAGGGGAAAAGTGAATACGTTCTCCCTTCTTGCAACTTCCAGGTTGTCACACATCTGGTATCTGTTTGCTCTTGTGTATTTTGTATTTTGGAAAGAAATGCATAACATAAAATTTACCATCTTCACCATGTTTTTAATGTTCAGTATAGTAGTGTTAGCCATATGCATTTTGTTGGGCAATAGAGGGGTGTAAGTTTTTCCTTTTGCAAAAGTGAAATTGTATGCTCATTGAACAACTACCCCTTTTTTTCTGCCCCCAGCCCCTGGTAAGCACTGTTCTACTTTCAATTTCTCAGAGGCCGACTAGCTTAGGTATCTCACGTAAGAGAACTTGCTCCTTTGGACTGGAACTTAGCATGCTATTCTACAGTTCATCTGTTTGTAGAATATAACCAGGTTTGATTAATTTTTAAAGGGCAGTGAACAAGGTGGCAGAGGCCTGCAGTCCTAACTACTCTGTAAGCCTGAGGTAGGACGATCTCTTGTGCCCACGAGTTCGAGACCAGCCAGGGCAACTTAGTGAGAAGCTATCTCAAGCAAAACAGAATTTCATTGTATTTATATGTAGCATTTTCTTTATTCAGTCATCCTTTCTACGTCTTTGTGCTTGACCCGTGGATTCTTACAGAGGACTGATTTAAAAAATATATTTACTTTGGATCTATGAGAAAAGGTGATGTCGTCTGCTTGAATTTTTCAAGGTAGCTGACGTTCTAGAGACTAAACGAAATTATAGGCAGTGCAGGGGGAAATTCATTTTGGAAAAAGCCGTGACCATGGAGAGACTGCCTTCCCTCCTACCCCACCTGGGCACCAGAAACTATTTTCAACCGAGCAATTAGGGCCCAGAATAAAAAGCCATTGACATTCCAAAGGCCTCTGCAGTCTCTGCACCCTCTTCACGGTAGCTCATGCTTCACACACTCAAAATAGCTCTGTTGAGAAAAGAAACTGCACAATTTTAAAGTAGGGCAAAGTAAAGGGTAAACAAGAACTCTTTTCACACCGAGCACTTGTGAGAATTCTAATGTCTGTGCAGGACCCATGCACCCCAGCCCCTCTGCTACTAGCAGTCATCCGGTGTTCCTTTACATGGAGTTAGTCTGGGGCCCTCCAGGGACGCTCACAGCCTTCCCTTCAGTGTGTCGTCAGGAAAGAACCTCAAAAAAAGCGTCCTCGCATGAACATGGTCATGATTTTCGATTGGTCTGTGAGTTATTCTTTAATATTTAGCCATAATATGTGATGAGAAGCCTCCCAGCAAACTAGCATAAGTTGCTTTCAAAACGATCCCACTAAAAATCCCAGCACTCTAAAAAAAAAAAAACAAAAAAAACACAAACTTGCAGCTGTGGGTAAAATATGCCAAATATAGCTTGAAATAGTAAATAATCCACCAGCAGCGACATTAGCCAATTAATTGGTGTGTGAACAAAGACCCTTTTCTGCGGCAGCATGAATGTTGCCTTTATTTTTCCTTTCCTCCCAAGCGTGATTTTAGAAAACAGCTGTAGCGCATGTTGACAAATGACAAAGCGGCAGACGGGCAGAGGCACTGTCGCCCAAGGCCAAGCGGGAGGGGGGGACTTGGGTCCCGGCGCGGCACCCGGGCCCGACCCCCAGCTCGCTCGCCTTTGTGCTCCCGTCCGAGCGCGCGGCGCCCCGCCGCCCCACCCCCTTCCTGGCTCCGGTTACGCGCGGCCTTTCGAGTTGAACAAACTCGCCGCCGGCGGATTGGCAGCCGCGGGGCTCGGCCGGCCGCGGCGCTGTGTTTATCCACTTCCAGCCCGCGGAGCCTCGGTATCCGGCCGCGGCCGCCGGGCTCCGGGCTGGGCGCGCGTCCCCGCGTCCCCGGCAGCACGTGGGCGG